TCTTTAAAAATCTTCTTCTCAAGAATGACAAAGCCATAATTCATCAAATTTATATGGAAGCATCCTCAGGTAGTGTAGATTCAAAAATTTGTACAAATCATGACCCCAGGGGGTAGGGCGGGGCCAAAATGGCCGACCAAAGTTTTACATAGAAATATATGGAAAATTCTTTGAAGAAAAGCAAATCCATGATTGATCATGGGATTACTTTTGGATTTTAACTTTTCAATTATAAACCAATTTCTACTTTTTCTTAGCTTCAGTACTCAGGTGAGCGATGTGGGCCATGGGCCTCTTGTTTAATGTACCATTAGTAATACACATCTGGCGGGACATTCATGTCCTATAGACATATTTCTAGTTTTTCAAATCATCACCTCAGGCTAGGGTCAGGCCACAATTAGGGATCAAAGTTTTATTTAGGAATAAAAGGAAACACATCTTTAAAGTTCTTCTTTTCAGGAACACCAAGAGCATGATTAATATGGTAATATGGAAATATTCTCAAGAGGTGTACAAATCATGACCACCAGGGTTAGGGAGGTGCCATATTATTCCCGCCCCTTTTTGCCATCCATATGAAAATTCAAATTTTGAAACCATTTTACACATACACAAAACAAACCAATCATTTTCTAAATGATCATGGTTTAAAGCTATTGCAGCATAAGATATTAGGGAAGTTCTTGAAAGCAGGGTGATTAAACATGTCAAAAATATGTAAAAAAAAAAAAATATAAAAATTCTACCTCGATTTGATCCCCATCCCCCCACCCCCCGGGCAAAATGAAAATTCCGAAACCTTACTGCACATCTACATGACACCACCAACCATCTCTTAAAATATGATAAGGCTGCTGAGTAAAATGTAGAAGGAGTTCAGGGAAGAAGGGGCTTTTTGTATAAAAAAACGTCATTTTTCGACCCCCATTTGATCCCCCGGGGCAAAATCAAAATTCCGAAACCTTACTGCACATCTACATGACACCACCAACCATCTCTCAAAAGATGATTAGGCTGCTGAGTAAAATATAGAAGGAGTTCAGAGAAGAAGGGGCTTTTTGTATAAAAAACGTCATTTTTCGACCCCCATTTGATCCCCTGGGGCAAAATCAAAATTCCGAAACCTTACTGCACATCTACATGACACCACCAACCATCTCTCAAAAGATGATTAGGCTGCTGAGTAAAATATAGAAGGAGTTCAGAGAAGAAGGGGCTTTTTGTATAAAAAACGTCATTTTTCGACCCCCATTTGATCCCCTGGGGCAAAATCAAAATTCCGAAACCTTACTGCACATCTACATGACACCACCAACCATCTCTCAAAAGATGATTAGGCTGCTGAGTAAAATATAGAAGGAGTTCAGGGAAGAAGGGGCTTTTTGTATAAAAAACATCATTTTTCGACCCCCATTTGATCCCCTGGGGCAAAATCAAAATTCCGAAACCTTACTGCACATCTACATGACACCACCAACCATCTCTCAAAAGATGATTAGGCTGCTGAGTAAAATGTAGAAGGAGTTCAGGGAAGAAGGGGCTTTTTGTATAAAAAACGTCATTTTTCGACCCCCATTTGATCCCCCGGGGCAAAATCAAAATTCCGAAACCTTACTCCACATCTACATGACACCACCAACCATCTCTCAAAAGATGATTAGGCTGCTGAGTAAAATGTAGAAGGAGTTCAGGGAAGAAGGGGCTTTTTGTATAAAAAACGTCATTTTTCGACCCCCATTTGATCCCCCGGGGCAAAATCAAAATTCCGAAACCTTACTGCACATCTACATGACACCACCAACCATCTCTCAAAAGATGATTAGGCTGCTGAGTAAAATGTAGAAGGAGTTCAGGGAAGAAGGGGCTTTTTGTATAAAAAACGTCATTTTTCGACCCCCATTTGATCCCCCGGGGCAAAATCAAAATTCGGAAACCTTACTGCACATCTACATGACACCCCCAACCATCTCCCAAAGGATGATTAAGCTACTGTGAAAAATGTAGGAGGAGTTCAGGGAAGAAGGGGCTTTTTGTATAAAAAACGTCATTTTTCGACCCCCATTTGATCCCCCGGGGCAAAATCAAAATTCCGAAACCTTACTGCACATCTACATGACACCCCCAACCATCTCCCAAAGGATGATTAAGCTACTGTGAAAAATGTAGGAGGAGTTCAGGGAAGAAAAGTGTGACAGACGGACGGACGGACGGACGGACGGACGGACATGAGTAACAACAATATACCCGAACTTTCTTTCGAAAGTGCGGGTATAATTATGAAATTGGGAGAATGTACACAATCTTGTCTGCATTTGACCTGTAAAGATTTAATTCCCATTCTTATTTGTATGCTGTAATATCAAATAACTTGATTTTTCATAAATTTACAATAGAGAATACATGACAAATGTTATATGTGCTATTTCAATTTTGCTTTGGACACTTTCATGTCAAATCATATAAATTATAAAAAAGTACATGGACTAATTATGTTATTCATTTGTACATGGTATGCATGTTTAACTATTTAATCATTTTGTGGAAATCTTATAATTGTACTCAACTTAGAATATGTAAAATATATGTATCGACAAATGCTACTGACTTGTCTGTATACTTTCCTGTTTAGAAAGTACACTGAAAAATAAGTTATTTCTCTTGATGAAAATAATTTATCAAAAAAGTTGTGGAAGCATTTTAAGATATTAATTTTCAAATATTTAACCCATGAAGATAGATCATTGGAATGTAATGGATTTTCATCTCAAGCAGAAATATCTGATATTTAAATGTGTACAAGAATGTGTTTTTCCTTGTGATAAATATTGAAAGAGAACACATGTAACTATTTCATATGACTTACATATGCTGCCCTTTTCAAATGATTCACATATTTGGACAGACATGAAAAAAGTATAAAAATGATAATAAGTACAACAGTAATATTATACACATATAATTCACATATAAAGTATAACATATATAAAACACATGTTTAACACATGTTTCATATGTATAAATATACAGTGTGTTTATTTTTACACATGTTAAACACATGTGAAATATATGTTTAACATGTGTAAAAATAAACACCCTATACATGTGTGCTCCTTTTATGTGTTTTACATGTGTAAAAAATATATGTTAAACACATGTTTAACATATGTTCAACACACGTGGACATTTTTCCTGTGTATGTAGTTTGAAACCTTAATTTGTATCTACAAAGCATAAACATTGCTATTTCAATAAGTTTGAAAGCATTGTAAACCTACATTTTCGCTTTTCCACTGCTACTGGAACGTCGTCAACACAGTTCGGTGCTCTTGGCTGGCATGTTTGGAGACCGCTTTCGAGAATGTTCCTGTAAGCCTAATTGTGATGTCGGCAATTTTTTAAATGTTTTAAAATTTCTGTCGGTTGCCTCTTTCAATGGAGTGCCATTCGGCATTTCTATCGCTTTGAAACGATCCCGTCTTCTTGACTCTTCCCCCGTCGATCATGTTGATTTCACTTGTCGACTTTCTTAGGCCTATGTCGTAAATATCGTAATTTTGCACACGTGTTGGTCATTAGTACAACATAGAAAGAATTTTTATTTAAAAATAAATAGAGTTAAACATATAAATCATAAAAACTTGAAAAACTTCTTTGTAAATTGTTGTCAGTTTGAATTTTACGACATGCCTAAGTACGAAGACCCACTTGGGGTAAAATGATCATAAGAATGCATCCTTAAATCTTTTTGTATTGTTTTGCCTTAAGAACCTCTCTGCACTGTGCAAAATCAAATCCTGTTTAATTACTGAAAACTGATAACAGACTGAAGCGTTAAATTCCTCCGAATCTCCCTGTCATTTCCCTTAGACTCCAAGGCTCTTTTTCGCCATATTTCGTGCGGACATGCACAATAGAGTTGGACAATTTAAGAAAGGTGCAACTCATACGGAGGTTTATTATAAAGGACAAGGTATGGTTGCTTTTGATGCGAAATCAGAACACAGTTAAAGCTGTGTAGATAACACTAAAAAATATTTAAAAGGGCTTGTTTTAGAATCTGTACTAATTTTGATACAAAGCTTACACGAGGGCTACAAGAGGGTGCAGAATTACGATATTTTCCCAAATTTCCTCAATTCTGATAGAATTTCGTCAAATTTGAAATACATTTCACTTCGGGAAACATAGAACAAAAGCTTGCTTATCTGAGATTTTTAAACAAAAAATGCATCTGACACTAGTGTATAAAATATTTAACTTTGGTAGATATCAAAGCTTGTGTTCTGTTTTCTTAAATCATGTGCTGTGAAATCGATGAAAAATATAAAAATGAGACAATTTCGAAAATTGACATTGTACATTATAAAAGTTTCTGACATTACAGTGACCTCCGTGTTTTACTTTACTTTGATCCTTTACTCGTTATGTGGCAGGAGGTACCATCAGGTTTTATTGATATACTGTTGCATCATTTTAAAAGACACCCCGAACCAGGGACACCAAAAGGGGTACTGTAAATGTATTACATTCGGCGTGTACGATATTTGGCGGAAATTCAATTTTCAACAAGTTAGCGTAGATTTGATTTAGCGCTATCTGAATGTGCTAGTAATAAATGTGTGAAGTTAAAGACATTTAGCCATGTACTTGATTTAGCAGACTCTACTTTCCGCCAATATCACTAAATAGAATACAATGTAATACGTTTACGGTATATCTTGTCATTATTTTGTCAAATGTTTAAATAACCCATTGTTTTCGTTTGAAGTATTGAAAGTTACATTTCCAATAACATTGGATCGCTCCGCATTTTTGAATCGTTAGCTTCACTTTCACCTTCTATGATTTGTTTTTGAGATATTTTTAGAAAGATCAATCTAGCACCGGTGATTTTGCGAGAAAAAATTCTTAATTGCTTAAATTGGGTTAACAGACACAGTGGAAATCTACATACAAATAATCCATTTTTTATCAACAATATATTTCTATTTTATCAGAAAATTTCAAAGGGAGAATTACATTCATGTGATGCGGGGAAAAGGGATGAAAACAAAACAAAAAACAGATATAAATCAACATTTCCATGTAAGTGCTACTTTAACACGTTTAATTTATGCGAACAAGAAGAAATTGAAGAAAAAAGGTTGCTTTCAAAAAGAAAGACAGTTCAATGTTAATGTTGAAGTAAAAATAAAAATGCATCATAAATTATTGACCATTTAAAATATTGCAATGAATTAGAAAATTAAAATTGGAACAATGAAATTTCATCTAAATAAAAATAAAGTAAATAGAAACAAATTCCACACCATCCTTTATTTTTAAAAAACCCTCTTCAGATTCTTCTTCATGAGACTGTATTTAATTTTTTTAGATGATCATTCGCGGGTTAAGTTTCGAATGACAGACATGAAATCTGATTACATAAACGCCAACTATATAAAGGTATTTATCAATTCATTTTTTCATTGTTTTTTAAATTAAATATATTAATATAACTTTATTTATCTTGGGTTAGAAAAATAATGTACTAAATTTACATGTTCATAATTATACATGCATTGATTTTTTTTAAAATTCTTACATAGTGCAGCCAATTAATTTCTACATTTTAATTAAAACACGTTTTTCTGAAATAGTTTTACAATTAGACGTTATCAGATTTTTCTTTATTTTGCTATATGTGTGTAATATTGTTTTCTTTACAATTGTGTTTTTTTTTTCAATTATTTTGTCAAAGGATATATCAGGCGAGCAGAGATACATAGCTACACAAGGTACAAATCGTTTAATTGTTGAAAAAGTAATCACCTACATGTACATTTCGAAATTCTGTATATTAGATAGTCAGAGTAATATATGTGAAATTGCTTCTTTTGTAATGCTTACCAGTTTTCAGAAAAGTATCTCAGGATATTTCTTTATTGAAACTTGTATTCATCAATGCTTTGGGAACAAAGTTTGATTAAGTTAAATAATGAATTAGGATAAAACACAACGTTTTTCACTTCATAATAAAAAATCTTATATTTCTTTAGGTCCAAAAAAGAAAACAGTTGCTGATTTTTGGACAATGATTTGGCAGGAATCAATTGAAATTATTGTTTGTCTAACAAATCTGAAAGAAGAAAAAAAAGTAAATTCAATCATCAAACATTTCAAATATACTAAATGAACTGAATTTCTTTTTTTTTAAGCAACGGGTTGATTAGGTTACATTCTGAATATGTTTATTTGAAAAAAAAACTTTTCTTATGTAGGAAAAGTGTGCACAATATTGGCCAAACTGCAACGACAAAGTCCAAAGTGGCAATTTTACAATTCGAAACCTGGAGGAGAAGACGTATTCAAACTACATTAAAAGACATCTGAAATTGCAAAATACAATTGTAAGATGATAGGGATAGAAGTATAAACTTCAAAGTGTTCTTAATGTTTTATATCATGTTCTTAAAACGTGATCTCTCTCTCTCTCTCTCTCTCTCCTTTTCAATTCAAATCTTCACTTCATTTAAGGGTAAGGAAGAAAAAGACGTGTGGATGTTTCATTACACACAATGGCCAGACCACGGTGTTCCTGAGGCTATAAATCTTGTGGTGTTCCATCGGCATGTACAGAGAGTTTTTGATGAGTCTGTAGAGAAAAGTAAAATAGCTGTCCATTGCAGGTAAACAATCAGCATGTACGCTTTGGGGTACCCATTTCTTATCCGCAAGTCTTCTTACACCACTGAATGAATTATCATGGGATTTTTAAAGAATCTTTGGTACATAGTACCACTGCAAATCTTCTATTTCACTTTTTGATCGGATATATATTCTAAGTTTCCCATAGCAAAACACAGACACGGGAATTCTTTCTATGATCGATATTGAAGTGTATACATTTCTTATCCGCAACTCCTCTCAAACCAATGAATAAGATTTAATGAGATTTCACAGACTCATTTTAATAAAAATGCCTTTGTGCATCTCTTATTTTACTCTTTGATTTGACACTTATTTCGGGTCTCCCAGAGCAAAACATAGACTTAAAAATTATTATCATATGCAAGGCGGGATGTTTCATTTAATAAACTCAATGCAACAGTGCCTCTAGTTTGAAATTCGTTTTAACATTGTAAATTTACATTCAGTGATTATTTTTTTCTTTATCAGTGTATAAACGACACTAAGCAAGACACGTGCGTAGATTTCTTGAACAATGGCTCTTCCTTCAGTTTTGCACGATGTCATAATCATCTATAATACAATATTACACATATTTAATTTTACTTATGTTTATTCATACAGATGTAAATATACACAATAAATTTAAATGTCTTACTTTGGGTGTTAGTACTAGAATTAATGTCGCAGCTATTGCAGAAAAAATTACATAATCAGCCTACGCAGGTTATGTATTTTTTTCTGCATCAGTTGAGACATACTTCTCGTACGTACAACTAAAGAAAGTATTTATTCTTTAAATTAATGACTTCAACTTTTCCCAAGTGTTTAATAAAAATGCATGAATACAACAATTAAGTAATCCTGATGAAAAGCGAGGAAGACCATCGCAAATTTCGAGTAGATCGAGCAAGCATGGAGATAAAAAAAATGTATCTGAGGTGACATCAGGTGTCTTGAAGGATAAGAATTTCCAATGGATAAAATCATTATATCGGCTTTTACATTTTTACGGATCTTTGTTTTTACTTTTAACAATTTGCTTACAAAGTACAAATCCAACGGTAGCCAGCGTCGCGTAGTTGTTAGCTTATTATGTTCCCCATACGAAGTTGGGGAACATATTGTTTTTACTCTGTTTCTTCTTCTTATTATGTTCCCCAAACGAAGTTGGGGAACATATTGTTTTTACTCTGTTTCTTATTATTATTATTATTATTATTCCTGGGAAAATTTTGTCCACGAGTGATCTTGTAAACTATACATCCGACTTAGGTGAAACATTTTTAGGGTTAGTAGGCATGTTATGTAGAGTTGCCGAACGAAGGTCATTTTGCGCGCACGTGCTTGCAAGAGTAGGCACGTGCAACACGTAAAATGACCAATATAATGTATACTGCCGTAACTTTTCTATTTTTTGATGAAATGCTTTGTAACTCATAATGTAAGGATATAATAGTAGTATAGACAAGATGGCATGGTCAAAATAGCAAGATCTCACGCGCATGCACGTGCGCTTTACTCTGATTGGCTGAAACTAAAGTCTCAATAACTTTCTTCTTTTTTGAAGAAATCCTTTGAAATTTTGAACATAGCCATGCATTAGGATATCCTACAACATGATATATAGCTATTATCATGAAAACACGTGTATGCACGTGCGCTGCAATCTGATTGGCTGAAACTTTAAATAGCTATAACTCCCTTGGTTTTCAACCAAATAGGATGGGATTTGGAACATAAATATATATCATGGACTTCTACAAGGAGGTATGGTCAGCATGCACATGCATACACGTGTGTATACGTGCGGCGCAATCTGATTGGCTGAAACTTTTAACAGCTATAACTCCCTTGGTTTTCAACCAAACAGGATGTGATTTGGAGCATAAATATATAATGGACTTCTACAAGAAGGTATGGTCACCATGCACAAGCATACATGTGCTTGTACGTGCGCTGCAATCTGATTGGCTGAAACTTTAAACAGCTATAACTGCCTTGGTTTTCAACAAAACGGGTTGGGATTTAGAACATAGATAGATGTAATGAACTCCTACAAGGAGGTATGGTCACCATGCTCATGTATGCACGTGTGTGCACGTAAAATGGGTACATTGTAAAATCAAAAATACACTTGAATAAGCGTTTTTTTTATATATATACTTTTGAATTAAATACTTTAATATTAAGCATATTAAAATATATATATAGTGTAGACAATATGATATGGTCATTACGCACATGCATTCACATGTGCACGCGCGCAATGCTAAAATTTGAATGAACTTGGCGTTGTTGAAGTCTCAAATGCATAGATTTTGTCCTATTTAATGAAGCTTACAGGGAATATGGCACCAAAAGGGAGTTGGGGAGCGTTTGGGGAACATCTGTAACGGTCCCCGTTACAATTAGCACTAGTTATTATTATTATTATTTTTCTTCTCGGGAAAATTTTGTCCGCGAATGATCTTGTAAAGTACACATCCGATTAAGGGGAAACCTTTTTAGGGTAAGTAGACATGTTATGTAGATTTGCGGAACGAAGGTCATTTTGCGCGCACGTGCTTGCAAGAGCGCGCACGTGCAACACGTGAATTGACCAATATACTTGAAATTGCCGTAACTTTTACATTTTTTGATGTAATGCTTTGATATTTAGAATATATAGACATATCATAAATGTAGATAAGATGACATTGTCAACATGCCATTTTGCGCGCACGTGCTTGCAAGAGCGCGCACGTGCAACACGTGAAATGACCAATATAATGGATATAGCCGTAACTTTTCTATTTTTTGATGAAATCTTTTGAAATTTATAATGCAAGGATATATTAGTAGCATAGACAAGACGATATGGTCAAAATAGCAAGATCTCACGTGCATGCACGTGCGCTGCGATCTCATTGGCTGAAACTTTAAATAGCTATAACTCCCTTGGTTTTCAACCAAACAGGATGGGATTTGGAACATAGGTAGATATTATGGACTTCTACAAGAAGGTATGGTCACCATGCACATGCTTACACGTGCATGTACGTGCACTGTAATTTGATTGGCTTAAACTTTAAACAGTCATAACTCCCTTGGTTAACAACCAAACGGGATGGGATTTAGAACATAGATAGATGTAATGGACTTCTACAAGAAGGTATGGTCACCATGCTCATGTATGCACGTGCGTGCACGTGAAAAGAGTAAAATAAAAAATACACTTGAAAGAGCGTGTTTTTTAATACTTTTGGATTAAATACTTTCATTTGTAGTATATTAAAATATATAGATTGTGTAGACAAGGTGATATGGTCATTACACACATGCATTCACATGCGCACGCGTGCAATGCTTAAATTTGAATGAACTTGGTACACAAGGGGAATTGGGGAGCGTTTGGGGAACATCTGTAACGGTCCCCGTTACAATTAGCACTAGTTTGACTTAGAATCACGTCGTAAGGAGTTGATCCTACCTACTGCCGCTGGTTCAAATCGAAGTGCGGGACATGGATATACGTAGGTTATTCGGAATAAGACTGCATAAACTGAGTATCGCAATAAGTGCCGGCACAAAAGAATCCATTCATTGCTTAATGACAATGAGTGCCGAGTGTACATGTAGATATTAAAAAAATAGAAGAAATCAAACTACAAAAGTGTAATTTCTTCTTGCCATGATAGAATGTATGACTTTACTTGATGACAGTAAAAATTTTACTTAGTTAATTTAATTATGATATATACCAATGTCATTAATTTTTAGAAATAGTTTGGGAGTGTTTCCTTTAACTCGATAATTAGTTATCTCGACGCCGTATTGTCAGTTAAAAATGTGTTTTTCCCGTTCCTATGTCCAAATGATATATTCCATTGAGCTTGAGAAAAAAGATACCACAAAGTCTGACACATCTGTTTCATATTTGGATAAACTTATATTTGGATAATTTACTGTTTCATATTTGGATAATTTACTTCAAACATTTAAAGACATTAATGGTAATCTAACAACCAAGCTTTGTGATAAACGTGATGACTTTAACCTTTTATTCGTCAATTTCCCTTACATATACAGCAATATACGTTCAAAATATACCTGTTTATCTCTCAGTTGATTCGATACCCAAGAGCATGCACTACATACGTACTATTTTTGAATGAGATAATTTATTGACAAAAAAATGAAACAACATATCTGCAGTCTCGTTTAAAGTCATCACTTTGTAAGTTTTATGGTCGATACAATGACATTTCAGCGAATATAATTGAGTCAAATGCTGAATGTCGTTTTTCATCTAACAATCTAACAACCGAACTCTATGATAAACGTGATGAATTCAACTTTTCCATCGTCAACTTCCCTTACTTAAGCAGTAATATACCTTCATCACCTGCATACGGAGTGTATATATCACAGTTGATTCAATACGCAAGAGCATGCTCTACGTATGGACAGCTTCTAAGTCATCATTTCGTAAGTTCTATGGTGGATACATATATATATTTAGTCAAATGCTGAGTGACGTTTTTTATACTAATTTTTAGTCCATTTATTATACACTGAATTGACTACCGTTTTTTTTCGTTATTTCCTTATCATGACAGGGAGCACATGGCGGGTGTGACCGTTCGGCAGGGGATGCTCACTCCTCCATATGACACCTGATCCCATCTCTGACGTCTTGGAGGTCCGTGTTTGCTCTGTTCCTATTTTTAATTGTTTCATGGACTTTGATATCGAATACTGTTCGTTAACTCAATATCCTTTATTGATTGTAAGGCCATTATTTATACACTGAATTGACGACGTTTTTTTCGTTATTCCCCAGTCATGACAAGGAGCACACGACGAATGTGTACGCTCGGTAAGGGGTGTTCACTTCTCCAGGGCACCTGATCCCACCTCTGATGTTTTGGAGGTCCATGTTTTATGAACTTTTCAGCCTGAATACTGTTCGTTATCTAGATATATTTTATTCAAATATATTTATTTTGTTAAACAAACTTTTGTAAGAATCGGAGAAGTAAATACACGACAATAGTAAACTATATATGATATAGCTTTTTTCGACAGGGTAAATTCATTTTTTAAAAAGTCAATGTTATTACCTAACCTGTAATTGTAATTAGGCATTTTGAACTGTTTCCTGGTTCATTTTTATGTTTTTCGCATATCATGCAACAGTCAAAACTGTTTACCCGGTCACAGAATGAACTGTTGCATGTCTGTAGTAATCCATTATGACGTCATGATTAATTTCCCGTACTTTACATTTATACTGAAATATGTATAAATTGAAGCATTTTGATGGTTTTAAATTTGAAATTATCATTTGAAGAGAAAACTAAATACTCACAAGTGTATTCAATTTGATATCATTTTAAAGAAGAGGCCAAGAACATCTTTTCTGAGGGTAATTATAGAAAACTGTAGGCTCCTTTCACTCACTAGAGCTTTCGCTTTTAAAACGTCAGTGTGTTATATTCAAACCTTCAAGTCATCTTAGGGTTTTTTTTCTTTTACAAAACAATACATACATGCATCAATATTTATTAGGGCATGCATGATAACACAAGAAATGCAAAGTTTTGTCGATTTGTCAATTTCATTACTTTAAGAAATTGTATAGTAGGTTAAGTAATAAAACACTTATTTCATGTAACTCGGAAACAGTTAAACAGTTGTCCCTCGATAATGGGGAAGACCTGAAAAACTGTTGCCCTCGGTCTTTGGCCTCGGACAACAGTTTTCCAGATCTTCCCCCATTACCTTGGAACAACATTTTGACTATTCCCCTCGTAGTCATGAAATAAACTTTATATAAAGCCTGAGAGCTTGGTTATGTTTCTTGAAGTGCTGGATTGGGTAGAACAGGTACCTTCATAGCCTTAGACGCCCTCTACCGGCACGGTTTGGAATCAGGATCTGTAAATGTGTCTGAATATGTCACTCAAATGCGAGATGACAGAATGAATATGGTACAAGGAGAGGTAAGTGAATATAATTTTTTTATAATTTATATAATAGTATTTCGTCAATCTTGAAAAAAAAATATCAGGAATTTGATGATTAAAATCTTGTTAACTTGTTATTTTGTTATTTAAGAAGAAGGATTTTGGTTCATCAGTATTATTTTTTGTGTTTTCTGTATCATTATTTCCTAATGTCCCTATGAATCTAATATACAATCATAAATAATCTCGTTGTAGGATCAGTACAAAATGATTTACACTGCTTTGTATGAATCATTCAGAGGACACCTTCGCCCAGTTACGGATAAATTATTTCTGTCAGACCACCAGACTTTAAATTCTAAACATCAAGAAGATGAAATTAAAAAAGAACAAGAGGCTGATGATTTTAAGGTTTTTTTTTAATATTTACATTTAATTATTTGTGTTATGAAGTATTTTGAAAAAAAAATTAATATGTCAATGTCATGTCAGGTGATGTGTGTGTTTGTGTTTAATGGATATGGCTTTTATTGTTTATTCTAATTTACCCTTAATCAAACATTTGGGGACGTATCGTTTTAATTTATTCTGTCCACTTACCTTTCTGTCTTGCTGGGGTCTTAATGATGTCATGCAGAATATTCTAACTTGACTCAATCAGCGATACATATGACGACATAGTATGCGATATGACGTCAATTATAGAACACAAGTCTCCTTGATATTTGTAATCAGAGAACTTTTAATTTTCTAGGAAACATTGAGGCTATTCTGGGCCCTTAATGTCCTTACTTCTTTAGTTCACAAAAATGAATACAAACATGTAAACATTAACAAAATTAAAATGTTTTTAGTTTGTTGTGCTGTATCTGTCATTTGGGTTAGTCGCCCGCTTGGCGCAATGGTTAGAGCGTCTGCTCTAGAGTCGCGAATTTAGGAGTTATTCTTTACGTCGCGGGTTCGAATCTCAATGTGGGACGTGGAGACCTGTCATTTGGATGAAACCGTATAAACCGGGGTCCCGTGTCGCAGTAGGTGTTGGCACGATAAAGATACCTCCCTGCTAAATGGACTTAAGTGTCGAGTATAGGACAAAATTTGCAGCTCTCCACCGTCAGTTGGTGGCGTCTCCATCTGAGTGAAACATTCTCGAGAGGGACGTTAAACAATATTCAATCAATCAATCATTTGGGTTACGACCGATGACGTCATAAGTTAACATCAAGTTACTTGGGAATTAACGATGTTGTGTACAGATATTTTGTCTTCGACGACATACAACTGTATACAAAGATACGTTAAAGGGGGGTTAGAAGCAAATATCGTGAATATTATGTGGATTTCATACGGAGATAAAGTTTATTACACAGGTATGCTAATTTATTTTCATCGATTATATTTTCTTTCAAAGACAGTCAGCTATTTACGGATCACGGTCGGTCTCTCCTCTGTCATTCGTGACAAAAATAATACAAAAGAACAACAGTAAGCTGGATATTTCAAAACATAAGTTTTTAAAGATTGTAGGCCTGTCTTCCATAATACTTGGAAAGTGCGGCTAGATTCCCGAGGTAAACATGGTTTTACGGAAAATCTCGGGTTATATGTTTGAAGTTCAAAACATCAAGTACGGTTTCGTGCAAATGCCTGGTATAATTATTTTACTGACCGGACAGCGGGAGTCTAGCAGCACTTTTTAGGCATAATAGATGTTTATTAACTACATGTATATTATTTACTCAAAAAATTAATTAACTCTGGGGTACTGTTGTTCTGTTAGCTTTTTTTTTATTAAGGAACATTTCACTTTAAATAGAGGACACGTGATGACAGGGTGGTGGTGCACGTATTTGCTTTAGACACTCTTAGCTTTGTTCAATAGTTTATTATAGTTAATGTTTTTTTCTGCGGCTTTGGTAGATTGTCAAACTAAACTTTCTTTAAAAAGTTTTAATTTCCCGAGAAATCAGTTAAATGCTTCCTTAACATACCTGCGCTGTCTTATGTCTGCAAAAACTCCAACATTGATTATAATTTTTGATCAGTTATATAAACATGGTTTTCATAGCTCAAATATATATTCTTCGTGACAAGACTTTTCTTTTGATAACAACTATCCTGACTTCTTTACCTCTGAGTTTGACAAACGTTTGCATAATTCAAACATTTGACCTTTATCATAAATTTTGATCAATTGGTGATAGGGCTTTCATACTATATTTTTTGTAATTTTGTTAATAACTTTCACTTGGCCATAAAGGATTTTTTTTTTTACTTTGAGCTAGGAATTCGACCTTCTTTTAAAACAAACTTTAACTTTCGTGGCATGATTTTTGAATAGTTAAAATTAAGGTGTTTGGTTATCACGGCATTTTCTAATTTCTTGTTCAAAACATTTGAAAGGATACCGAGTATTTTGGCTTTTGATCGCCACCTAGGAAATTGAGCCTCTGTCTTTTTCCTTGGAGTTTTATCTTCTTTCTTTAAATAGAAGTTTAACAAAGCTATAACATTTGAACAGGATTTTATATTTCATTTTTTTGGGGGTGATAAAACCTTTTCTTGGATGCTAAAAAAAATTGACTTTTTTTTTTTTATTATACCTCATCTATTCCTTTTTGGTCGGTGCTTGAGCTTTGAAATGTGTATTCCAAATGAAAACGCAATTTCCATTTATTTTGAATGTTTAACATTGCATGACTTTATTGCTTGCCTTTCTTTTCAGAAAACATTCAATGCCGTTTTAACTTCTCAATGATTGGTGTATGGTCTTGCAAATTTTACAGTTTAATTCCGTATTTTATCGATAAAAGACCTTGCATCCTTTTGATTTATTTAAAATATATCTGGAAAAATCCAAGATTCCTAACATAAAAGATTTTCAAAGAGGTTATTCTGAAAGCAATCAGTTTTTAAAAATTTAATCATCTAACTCGATTTTCCAGGAGCTCGAATCACTCAAAATACAGTACGATAAAACTGAAAAATCTGCACAGAACAATGCTGCATCTAATTTTACACCAACTGTTATGCCAGGTAAAAGAAATTCTGTTTCTTTTAAAAACTTTTTTTGTTATTGCATGTAACGTATTGATATCTGAATACTTTTAAAATGACCAAAAATAATAAATTCAATATTTTAAAAAATATATATTTAAATAGTTGAGAAATATAGATGTCATGTGCTCTCTGACGATGGTGAACCGGTTTACTACAACGCTGTCATTCTTCAGGTTTGCAAATATGAATTTCTGTGTTGATGTCAAAAGAATTTTTATATATTGCAAAACAACTTTAACCGCAATTCTCTATTGTTTTATTTCTAATAGTCATTCACGAAACCCGATGGTCTTATCAGTGCCCAGTATCCACTTGAGGACCAGTGTGAAGATTTCCTGTATCTTGTAAAAGAGAGCAGACCTGGTACTGTAGTTTTTCTTGGGCGGCTTGAAGATATTCCCTCGGTATGTATAAACATGTATATCATGAATCATGTAACTCCGAAAGCTATGTCTTAACCTTATTTCACTTTTATGTATTTATCAAAAACAATCTTGTCAATTTGAAATCTTATTCAAATGTTGAAATGATTTATAACCAATATATAAAACTGACTCTCTTTCTTCTAAGATATTTGGTTTCCAAATACAGTAAAGAAAATATAGATTTACTTGCCCATGGTTGAAATAAGGTATGCATGCGAAGTGGAGTTTGAATTGTTGGAATGTCTCATAAGGTTTCACCAAAGGTCAACATGTCCGAATATATCACAATATAGGTGGTGCACGAGAGAGATCCCTCACTGTTCAATGGTCGTAACTGTCGTATAGGTGGTTAGAATTTCTAGCCCTCAACCAGCAAGTTTCTGGCGTCTCCATATAAGTGAAAATTTCTCTTGAGGGACGTTAAACATCAAAAATCAATCAATCTTTTTTTAAACAAAAATGCTGTACACTGGATGTTGACTTTTTTCAATTGAGAAGAAAAAAAAATAGATTTGAAGGCTTGTTTTCTTTCAAAAAGTTTAACCCGTCCTTATCCGACCCTGACCTCATCCTTTTTTTGAAAACATATACATGTAGTTATTTTATTTTTTTATGTTATTGATACCTTGTAAATTTATCCTAGACAAAGATCTGGTTTCCATCAAAGAATAATTGCAAGGCTGTTGGAAAATTTACAATAAAAATGACAAAGTGTATCCCTTCAGCTGAAGTCACCAAAACTAATATCATTATTCAGGGAAAGGTAATATCTCTCTCTCTCTCTCTCTCTCTCTCTCTCTCTCTCTCTCTCTCTCTCTCTCTCTTGCACAATACATCTTTTTTGACATGTAAATTTTTACGTAGTGATATTTACTTAAACGAATATTCGTTCCTATTGTTTCAGGGCTTCAAGGACATCCCTTTATCTGTTTTGGAATGCAACTTTTGGAAAGGTGATGCTTTAACTGCCGATTGTAAGAAAGTAGTAGAGGCAATCAAGGAAACAAGACTGGAAGAATCGACACATTCAAACAAAAGAACAATTGTCTTCTCAAGGTATATATATCCCAAACCTTTAAAATATAGACCCCGCAAATAGAACTTTAATTAGTTTTTTTTTTTTGTCCTCTGTTTATGAAATTTCATTTCTATGAAAAGACCTATGCTGCATTGCTGAGTTTCATTCTGGTAAATATGGTACATAAAATAATGTATATTTGTATACAACTACAAAGTCTTGAAAATATATAAAAAATTTGATGGTTTCATTTTTTTGTTGGAAAACGAAATATATACTGTAGATGTACTTTTTTTCCACAGGGTCATTATTCCATGGAATCTCAATTTTTGTTTAATCCGCGGGTAGAGAATTACGCGGATTTCTCGGACTGTCATTATTCTTATATCTATATTAAGTGCGCTTGGACAAATTTCTGCGGAAAATTTGTGACCGCGTACTTAGCGTAATTAATACCACGCGGAGAAAAGTACTTCTACAGTATTTCTTTCATTCAATTTGCCAATCTGCATCGTCAATATTTTCCTATCACTTTTTCAAGGCATAAATTCGTACTAGATTCAGTAATATTTTGCTTATAAGCAATGAATACTATACGGAATACCCGTAATCTTTATAGATTGTAAGAAAATTTTTCTAACTATAAGATTGAAAAAAAACATTGACCCTGGTAATTATGTTCCCCAAACGAAGTTGGGGAACGTATTGTTTTTACTCTGTTTCTTATTATTATTAAGGTCTTCCGTTTCAGACGGAAGACCTTATAGTGATTCTACTGTTTCTTTTTATTATTAAGGTCTTCCGTCTTCACGGAAGACCTTATAGTGATTCTATTGTTTCTTATTATTATTATTATTATCATTATTATTATTATTATTTTTCCGTACACCGAATTTTGTGCACGCGATTTCTCGAAGACTACTTGGTGGATTTTCATGAAATTTACAGAAATTATGTGTTATTATCTGAAGTTATTTTTTCCGAGAGATTTTTTGAAAATTTGCTTCTGGTGCCAAGTTACGGGATATTTTCTGAATTTAAAATGACATTTTGTCTACGGTTAAACTCAAGAACGGTAAAAGATATCAATGTGAAACTTTCAGGGATTATAGATCGTGATTAGTACTATCCAGGACGCGACCTTTCGTTCGTCGTCAGTACTTCCGGTCTTTACCAAAAGCGAATTAAAAAAATTGTATTTTCTAACTTTATTGTTTTGCAATATTTTTCATTTCTTTTTGGAATGCTAATAGAGACCCTTCTATTGATGCTTACTATTTACGTTGTTTGAATATTGGTTAATCTGAACTCTAGATATGAATATTTGAAAATCTGAAGCGGGCCCAAGATGGCGTCTGCCTCTGTCAACTCCGCCATTTCGCGAGTAGGGGTTTATGGAGGCAGCTGAGCGTTTGATTAAACCATTCAGACATAAGGATACATGAAATATAAAAAACTACTTGGACTTTCACGTAGTAGTACGTTGTAATTACGTATCAATCTTAAAACTTATTTTCCGTTTCACTGCTATAGTTTAACTGGGCTAGATACGATATGTAATGTGTACAATGTGTTAAATATACTT